CTTGTCAATGGTGTGTGATATGTAGAAGTGTGCTATGCCATGTGCGTGATTAATTTCATCATTTAATAAAGCCTCTACTTAATTATCATCAGCCTCTGATTCACCTTTCTAAATCTTAACAGCAGAGCGTGGTTCTGATATTGAACATGCTAGAGGTGAAGCATTTATATTTGTCTTGTGGAACTTGTTTGTTTGGAACGGAATCACACGTTAAGTGAAATTTGAAATGGTAGCACATGATGAGAACACAAAGTATTCTGTTGAGTGGTAAAAACTTTTCTCTGTTTAAGCGCCGTGTTGAAGCTGTGTTTGTAACTAAAGAACTTGATAAATATTTAGACGTTGAAGCGAATGAAACAAAAGTTGCTGAAATCAAAGATGCATAAAAGGCTTACGCATTGCTGCTAACCCTTCTAGATGATGCCATATTGGCGACCATGTCGAGTGAATCTTCTGCATGTGTGAAATTTGGAGCAGTTTTAAAGAATAAATACCATAAGGTGAGTGCAGTTAGTCAAATATTAGTACGAAAGAAATTATCGACACTGAAGATAACGCCGAGATTGCAGTATGCAGTCACATATTAACGAACTGTTGGCGATCGTAAATGAACTGCAACTCTCGGGTGCTGAAGTCAAAGATATGGATGTGATTATTTATTTGTTGATGTCGCTACCTGCTGAGTACGACATTATTAAATCGACGATTGAGAAACCAGCCAAATGAAATGCTTACGCTGGACTTTGTTATGCAAAGGCTCTTGAATGCTGAAGAATTGCAAGGTGAGAGAAATTCTTACGATTCTCGTGTTTCTGGCTCAAGTAATAACGTAGCTTTTAGCGCTGATAAGCGTGATATCATCTGCCACAAATGTAAAAGTAAAGGTCATATTGCCAAGCTTTGCAAGAAAAAATTTAGTTTGTTTTGGATGTGGACGCTCAGGGCATTACAGGAAGGATTGCAGATTTAAGCATAAATCAGATTACAGAGAATCGGCTGCAGTAACATTTCATGGTTGGTGAGCCTGTTGGAAATTTCATTCTGGATTCTGGAGCATCTACACACATGTGTAATAAAGGTGAGTGGTTTGAAGAAATTAAACCTTTTTCTGGAACTGTTGCATGTGCTTCGAAAAATGATGTTTTAAAGGTTAGAAGGTATAGGTACAGTACCTGGAACATTAAAATGGAAGAGAAATATTACTTAAAGATGTGTTATATGTGTGCCTGAGTTGAACGGTCAATTAATATCTGTGAAGAATATTCAAAAAGCAGGTTACAGTGTAATTTTTAAGAATGATGTAGCTGTTATTGAAAAGAGGAATGAAAAATTTGAGTTTGCTAAACTCAATGAGAAAGGGCAGTATGTGAGTCAATTTGAACCTGTTAAAGCTTCAACATACATTGCAAATCATAGTGCAGAATTATGGCACAGGCGCATGGGCACTCATCTGATAAAAAATGGAAAAAAAAATTAAAAGCAAATGGGTTTGCCAGTATCTGAGTCACCATCAAGCTTTTTGTGAAGAGTGCATACTAGCAAAACATTCCAACACTCCTATGAACAAAGGTCCCTAGAAGCAGAGAGCATGTGCCGATGAGAATGGTACACACTGACATATGTGGTCCCATTGATCCACCCACTAGGGAAGGTGAAAAGTATTTTGCTACAATCATAGACGATTTTTCTAGATTTACTGAAGTGCATCTCTTAAAGCACAAGAGTGACATAAATGAAGTGTTTAAATTGTTCCTAAAGCAGAATCCTGATGTCTACAAAATTCGGTGTGATAATGCCAAGGAATACGTGTCTGGTGAACTAGCTCGTTATTGCAAGAAAAATGGTGTTATGATAGATCCTGCTTCCTTCATATTCACCTCCTTTGAAATGGTGTGGCTGAGAGAGCCAACATATATCTTTTAGAGAAGGTCCTGAGCTCTAATATGTGAAGCAAAGCTTTCTAAATCCTTCTTGGGGTTATGCTGTACAGACAGCTGCATATCTGAAGAATAAGAATAGAATTCCAAATCAGACTGTTGAAAATGTACCTTATGAGCTCAAATATGGGAAGCCGCCTGATTTGAATATTATTAAGGTGTTTGGATCTGATGCATACATGAGAGTTCCTGATAACTTAAGAAAGAAATTGGATCCAAAATCAAAAAAGATGATTTTTATTGAATACTCTACCATGGGTTATCGTTTACTGGACCCAGTCACAAATCATGTTGTGGTTTCTCGAAATGTATTGTTCAATGAAGAGAAAAAGAAATGTATCTCAGTTCAAGATGATTTTTCCATAGAAAGTAAAGATCCTGCTAAAGATGAAGTAGTATGTGATTCAAGTGATGTAGAAATCCAGAAATCTTGAAGAAAGTCATGAAGAAATTACTAGGCAAAGAAGAAATATAAAATTACCTGTAATGTTTAATGATTACTTTGTGTATGAAGCTAGTGTGGCAACTCTTGATACAGTAACATATGAGGATATAACAACATTGCCAAAAGAAGAGCAAAGTCCTATGGAGGAAAGCCATGGATGAGGAAATAGCTTCTCTTAATAAAACTGAAAGTGTGGGAAGTTAGTCAACTTGCCCAAAGGATGAAAAGCCAATATCCTGTAAATGGGTGTTGCGCATCAAACGAAACAATGTTTACAAAGCTAGACTGGTTGCTCGTGGCTTTGAACAGAAGCCAGGCATTGATTACTTTGAGACCTATGCTCCTGTAAATTAGTACATCATCACTTCGACTTGTGCTGGCTATCATTATTCAAAAGAATCTTGAAATCTATGCATTAGATGTAAAGACTGCATTTCTGAATGGTGATCTCCAAGAAACAATCTACATGGAACAACCAATGGGCTACAGTGACAACAGTGGTAGTGTGTGCAAGCTTCTTAAGAGTCTTTATAAGACTTAAGCAAGCACCGAGGCAGTGGTTTCAAGAGATTTACTGATTTTATAATTAAGTTAAACTGTTCAACAAGTCTGTAATCTTTCAACAAGTCTTCAACACTAATCTGTGAAGCATGTACTTTTGTAAGAAGAACTAAACAGAGTGAAATATTTATTGTGCTGTATGTGGATGACTTGCTAATTGCTGGTTCTAATGATTCAGAGGTAAAAATTGTGATTGAACTACTTAGAAATGAATTTGAGATGTCCAAGGCTGAAGTTGCAAATGAATTTCTAGGAATAAGTTTTGAATATTCACTGAACAAACTTACTTTAGACCAAAAGTCTTATGTTGAAAAATTGTTAAATAGATTTAAGAATGTTAGATTGTAAGCTATCTGATATTCCTTTAGTGCCAAAGTCAACTTCATCAAATTTTGTGAATGGTGAAGATTTCATGGCCCTTATCGTGAACTTGTAGGTGCTTTGCGGTATGACAACTCGTCCTGATATTCTGTTTTCTGTGAACTGTCTGAGTCAGATACAAGAACAACCCCACTAACAGTGCTTGGGCTGGTCTGAAGCAAATTCTTCGATATTTAAAAGGGACATCTGAACTGAAATTATTATTTTGTAAATCTAATAGTGTTGATATTATGATAAATGTTTATGTTGATGCTGATTGGGGGTCAAATACAAATGATAGAAAATCTATTTCAAGGTACATTATTTTCTTTAATGATTGTCCTGTAACTTGGTCTGTTAAAAAGCAAACATCTATTGCTCTGTCCTCTACTGAAGCAGAAATTTTGGCTTTAGCAGAAGCTATTCAAGACCTAACTGTATTTTATAATGTATCTAAAGAAATTTTAGGAGTCAACAATATTAAAAGTTTCAGTTTATGAGGATGATCAATCTGTAATTAAAGCAATATTGAATGAATGTAATTGTGCTAGACTAAAACATTTGGACATTAAATTAAAGTATATTAGGGATATTGTAAAATTGTATGATATAAATCTTGTATATATTTCTATTGAAAATCAGTTAGCTGATTTGTTTACAAAATGTTTGCCTAAACCAAGATTATGTTATTTAAGAGATAAATGTAAAATAATATGCGATTAAGGGAGGGTGTTGAGAATAATCACACGTACTCCCCGTTCTTGTTTTAATGTCATGTATTTTAACCGTAACTGTTTTATACTTTTGATCTGGCAACAGTTGTGGTAGTTCTTGGTCATGGTGTGATATGTAGAAACGTGCTATGCCATGTGCGTGAAATTTCATCTTTTAATAAAGCCTCTACTTAATTATCATCGGCCTCTGATTCACCTTTTTTAAATCTTTACAATATTTGAAGAAGTTAATTGCATGAATGCATCAATGTTTTTCTCACAGTGAAAATACAACGTCAAATTTGAGACAGACATCAAATTTTGTATAATAAATTTTTTTAGCAAATTGGGTAAATCACATTTGGCGTTATTATCGCTTACAACAAATATGCCAAATTTCAAAACACGCCAATATGTAAATTCACATATATGTTAGGAAACTTTGAATAAAAAGCTCTAGTTTTTTGCAGGTATGCTTAGGAATACATATAGGTTAGAATTCAAAAATGCTTTCGAAAAATTGATAAAAATTACAAATTTTAAAAGCAAATCACAAAAAAGCTGTGAATTTTATTTGGATTCAACCTGAATTTCGAATCATGAAAGAAGAAATCAAGTAAGTTTAATATAAAAAAGACATATTAATAAATATATATCAAATTCAATTAACACTGAGGAGCTAAAATTTTGATAAGCTAATTTTTTTAAAAACTACTCGTGCGATGTTTACAAAACTTGGCACTTTATCATAATCTGAGTCCTAGCATCGAAATATATAAAAAGTTAGATATGTCGTTTCAGAAAACGTCCGCTTTTGTCAGAATACCCATGTTAGAACAATGCTGTATGTAAATCTAATACTCTAAATCGCGCTTTCGAGTTAGAGTATTAGATTTACTAAATTTTTCTCCTTACATATTCCTCAACAGATTAAATGCATTATTTGAATTAAGCATTAATGTTACGTAACATTTGTATATTTTTCAAAGGTGTCGGCAAGACATGCCTTATGAAGCGATTTACTCAAGGAAAATTTTCTGGTAAGTATTATTTCGAGAATATTTATTAACACACCCTTGTATTTTTCAATAAATGATGTGAAATCTTATAATTTTAACGGTACTTAAATATTAAGTGCTAGCCACACTGATGGATGAGCAACTGCCGAATTATTTTGTCTTGGTTTCGAACTCACGTTATCTGCAGCCAATTCATTCGTACTAAGGATTCGCATAGGGGGCCTTAATAGGATCCAGTTTCCCTTAGAAAGTACTGCCCAAAGGCATTCCTCATCTTAGACTGATAGCCATCGTTTGCTTTGCCATATTCAAGGAACTAATCGCTACCACCCTGGCGCAGTCTCGCGTATTTTCGCAACCATCTTGACGCAGTTTGGCGATTTTTAACGAGAAAAAACTATTATGGGTTGCTATAAAATATTTATTACATACATGTATAATTTACGTTTTAATTAGGACTTAAGAAATGGGCACCAAGATGGCCACCACTACGAATGTCCCCCAAGATCTCCCGAATTCACGCCTAATAAATTTCTCTTAGAGATATATTAAAAACAATATTTATAGGAGGCTAATTTTGCTAATATCTCAAGTTACGAACTACTTGATGAAGATAGACTTCTTCGCCCATTCGGCGCTCACTTGTTACAGTCTACCTAAACCGACCGAAGAGAGCTCAGCTTACTCACTCAGTAATTCGCAAGCTCACCACGTTTCGGTTTCTACAAACTTCTTCATGTGTTGCGGACAGCTTTCCACACTTCCCTGTCATTCTGCAGCTCAGAGGTAAGAAACTTCCTACCTCCATGCTGCAGATGCCCCAGACACGGCTTGCTGATCTCCGAAGCCCAGGGCTTCACTTTTTTTTCTTTTACAAGCTTATCTCAACTGGAGAAGCTTCATTTTTGGACTTTTACATACGTCAGGACCGTAAGGGGAATCTGGAAAGAGCAGGAGTAGTGCATCTCTTGCTGCATGCCAAAATAACCAAAACGTCCACAGTGTCCACAGTCCACAGATCCAAAGTATCACAGGACCGCATTATGGCTGCTTTGGTAACCACCTGCAAAGGAAATGTTACAATGCTTGTGAGACAAATTGAAAGATTTTAAAATCCTTTTGCGAAATACATTTTTTTCATTTGCGATATTTTACAAAATACAGCGTTTTGAAACCCGAAGAACCATTTGTAATAATCTTGTACTTATATATTTGTGGTAATACTTTCTACAAAAGACATCTAAGAAACTACTTGAAAGAACAGCACGTTTAATTACATTTAAAGTATTTACATTTTTTAACAAATAAGTTAGTATAATTAGATACAATTTTATTTATGTCTTTATCGTCTTCGTTCTTTTCTTAATTTAAATCTTGAGTTTTTACTCATCTAGTTGCCAACCGACAAAAAAAAAGTAAAACATTAAAAGAATTTACGATGAGCAATCTGTATGCCATCTGGTATTCAACACTGGCACTATACATATTTAATACAATATGTTTGGCTTTAACGAATGATTAAACAACATATCGTTTCGACAAACAAAATTCTTTAATTGTTTTACCCTAAAGCCGTATTTCAAAATTAAATACATTTGTTCATCCGATTTAAGTATAACTCAGGTTCAGAGGATGTTACAAAAATAGCCAAACTTTATGTCAATAGGAACTGCATATTTAAAAATCAGGCGTATTTAGCCACAACTAGATTCGCCAAGAGCAGCAATAAGATACTGGTTTAATAGTTTCAGAAATAGTACTATATACTAGTTAGTTTATCAAAATCATTATCCTCATACATAAAACCAAGCACGAATTTCAATGAATTTTATCATTGGTCACTTAAGCAGTTAATATTATAAGTTTAACTTTTGAAATTTATACGAATTTGAAAAAACTAATTTTTTAAATGCAATTCAGAAAAAGCACATTAATTTTGATTTTCCAGGACAGGAATTCATATTTCATGCTTCATTAATGAAGAATTTTCTTCGAATATTAAATACAGATATAATTTAATTTTAATTAGTTTAGTTATCACTTTTTTTCCACTGTGTCGGTCTGGTATTCGCATTAAACACTGCATGGATATATTTTATTTGAGGGAAATGATAATTGGGGAAACCGAAATTCACCAGGTCGTTTAAAGAGAAGGGACCCGGATGAGGGTGAAAACATCTCTTTGACATCTTTTTCGATTATGATCCATATTGCATTATGAAAGTCATCATCTGTCTCTAGGCGCAACATCAGGTCAATATCTATCTGTAGGAGTAAAGATGTTATTTTAGTGTTCTCCATTGAAGATATGATTTGTTTTATTTTAATGCTGTAAAGCACTTAAGAATTATCTCTGATCTGTGTAAGAGGAGAGAAGCCTCTGTGGAAGAATTTCTAAGGAAAACTGACTCGTATCTACGTTACACACGGAGAAAACCACGAAAACTTCCATGCATCCAACCCGTTCGCCAAGAGTGACTTCCCGCTTCGTTGCTGGTGAGCTTGATTGAAAAGGGTAACAAAAGAAAAGGGCTTATGCAAAATGTATTCTGCGATCAGAAAATTCGAAGCAGTGAAAAGAAATAAAAAAGTTGATCTAGTTCTCTACAAATAGCTACATTACAGTTAACTAATGTTTTTTACTCTCAGTTTTCCGATCCTTCAGTTTCAATTCCAGCGTTGTGCAAACATTATTACATTTAATTTTCGTGCTTTATAAAATATTTTTAAAAATCTGGTTTCAGGTTTCGATGTAAAAACCTTGTACTAGAGCGTCCACTACCTCATTTTGTTCCTTGGCCCTAGTCGTAAAACTTTCGGTAGAAATGCGAAATGTATAATCTGGATTACATGTCAAAGAATAGAATTTGAAGCATTTTCTTCCTGTGAAGGCCCACTAGTGTTTCGAGTGTTTAGAACGCTGAATACTGGTAGTTCGAGCTGGCTTGTTTTCAGATCCATGCGAACGTTTCACGAAATGTAACCATGCCTTCATGGTATGTTTCGTGGTTTTATCTATGTGTAACATGCATACGAGCTTGCTATCCCCAGAAAATCCTCCATGAAGGCATACCTTCTCATGGGCAGATAAGCCCTCATGGCTTTGCCATAGTCAGATAACGAAAAAGTGAATCTGCCTGTGTATTTGAAGTGGTCTTTTAAATGTGTGTGATTTCCAAAACTAGCTCTAAGTGGACTATGAGGAATATTTTCTTATTAATGCCACGTGTAAAGCAACAAATTATCGAATTTTCCGTTCTGTTTTCTGTTACCTTTAGTATATGTAGAATCCTTGTTCACAGAAAATGTTTAAAATGCCTCGTGTAAAGCTACCATATTATCGTATTTTCCGTTCTGTCTACTGTTACCTTTAATATATGTAGAATTCTTGTTCACAGAAAATGCTCAGCCAACTGTTGAAGTTGAAGTAGCAACCGCTTATGTTCAAGTGCAAGGATTCCATGTTAAGCTAGAAATCTATGACACCCTCGGGCAAGAAAGATTCGGCAAGCTTCCAAATATGTGAGTTCCCTTTTTACTTTCGTTATTCATCAAGGCCGTCCTAGCAGATTTTAATATCTCACACACATTTACTACTTTTACTCACTCTAGATTTTTATCTTTTAAATACCTTTTGTCTCTCCGATGTTGAGATTTAATGAGCCTACGAGCGGCCAGGGCTGACCAGCGGCTGAACGGTAAAGTCCGAAACGCTGGTAGTTTTGTTCGGGGTTCGAATCCTGGCGAACGGGCTGGCTGCATGGGCGTTTTCGTGGTTATCCCCATGTGTAACCTGTATGCGAGCCAGGTTTCCTTAGAGAGCTCCACGAAAGCATCCCTCCCCTTAGGCAGATAGCCTTCGAGTGCTTTACCGTAATTAAATATACCATACCATACATACCAGCGGCCAAGCGGTAAAGTGGTTGAACACTGGTATTACCCGCATCGTTTAATCTGGTATTCCACTTCACCAAGCCGTTTAATCTCGTATATTTATTTGCAAGAAAGAATATTTGGTGTTTACAAGAATTGTTTAATTGAACGATCTCCAATATAGTACATGCATTACAACGACGACGGCGTTTAGGAGTTTAGGAGACACAGATTGAACCTTGTCTCCAAAATTAGCGCCTTTGTTACAGAAGACAGAATGCCGAACATCTTTCAAAGTGTATCCGAATCACTCGATCTTTCACTTTGTTGTGCTGCATGTATAACAGTTAATGTTTATCCATTTCAACATATTTTGAAACTAAAAAGCATTATTTCTCATAAATATACATTTTCACTGGGTTTCCAAATTCACATTCCACTAAACATTCCATCACGAAAATCGTGTATTTTGCTATGTATTTACCAAGGTACACCTTAAAATTGCGGCCATCAATTGCCTTACATTAAAAGGCTATTAGAAGTATTTTATATGAAACACGTGGTACATTATTTGATGTAACTTCTATATATGTTCTTGCTTTGCATAATGAAATATTGAGTTGTTCGGAAATTAATTTCCTTTTTTTTCCCAACAGAGGGCTTAGTGTTATTTTTGCACAGCCAACTTCACACTTAAGCCGCATAGTCATTGATAGCTGATATAGCAAGACTAAATTAATAGCAAGACTTGTTTGTGAAAAGTTCGATTGAGTCTACGAAGTAGTTTTTGGTTGGTGCCCTTTCAAATATGGAAAATGAAAAGCAACATTTTCAGCATATTTTACTTTTAATTAATAGCAAGACATGTTTGTAAAATGTTCGACTGATTGTACGAAGTAGTTTTTGGTTGGTGCCCTTTCAAAAATAAAAAGTGAAAAGCGGCATTCTCGGCAAATTTTACTTTGTTACTATCGAAAAGGTAAAAATGCTGTTCAAGTTGTAGGGTTTATATTTATTTTAAGTAACATTTATTTTAAGTTTGAACTATCTTTCCTGTCAAGCCTTACTTTCCCCTGCAACTGCCAATGCCAGAGTATGTAAATTTTAGTAGAACGCGCAAGGATTCAAATTATCAGCGGAAGTATTCTGAGTTAAATAGAAAGGAAACGAGTTCGATATGTGCTGTTCTTACTTCACGAGCGCGGAGGTAGTCAGCCAGAAATTGAAGAACCCCGCGTTTCGGCCTGTGTGCTTGCCTCGGAGAATTGTTAATCGTTCAACGTGATATTCAAAGTTTGCTAAATTAGCAGCGGTATTGTGAAACGCAGTGAGGTTAGTTACTTTTAAAGAGCCTCGTAGTTAGAGTCTTGTTATTATTTTCTTTTCAGGTTCTTATTTTTATTTTACCGCCGGGTCGGCGTAGTTTGTGAGTGTCAAGAGCACGCAATTGTAATTAAGTTGAATAAAAAGGGACTTAAACCCTTAGCAAGACTCTGTCTATTTTCCAGTTTCAACAGTCACCTCTTGGTTGCGTGCAGGTTGGAGGCGCGCAACTCTACATTGGCGCCCGAACACTTATCGAACTGAAATGGCCGAAAATCGGATGGAAACCGCGGGACAACACCAAGAAATGGCAAGCCAACTGGAAGGATTTGGATACCTGGTCCAGACGTCGAGAGCGTCAATTAAGCCAAACGTCAATTTCGACAGAAAAAATTCGGTGGCGATATTTCTAGAAGGCCTAGAAAATCACTTCCAGCTCTACCCTGTGCTTGAAAGACAAAAAGTTGCCATCGCCACATCTGCACTAAGAGGCCTGGCCGCGCTATGGTGGAAGAATATAGGCAAATTGTATTAGGAGAATTTGGAAGCCAGACATATACATTTGAAAATTTCAAAAAATCGTTAGTAAAGGCCTTCCCCATAGTGAAAGATCAAGCAAGGCTGGAAGCCGAACTATATAGTTTCTATCAACGGGATATAGAAGAGTTGACGGACTTCATTTTGCGAAAAATTAAGCTGACGGATATGCTGTATGGGAAGAAACCCGACGCGGAGATTATTGAAATAATCTTACCAAGATTGTTACCTGCTGTTCAAGACTACTTCGAAATTAGAAACCCAAGAACATTGCAGGAGCTCTTCGAATTGGCGGTGAAGTTTCAAAATCGCAGAATAGCGGGAAAAGCTAGAAGTACATCGTATTTTCAAAGTACCCGAAGGAAATCTTCAAATGAGCAAACCAGAAATGCAAACCGCTCTTATGGGGGAAAGAGCTATCAAGCTAACTCATCGAACCTCGAAGGTCAAGGCCCAAAAAGAAAATTCGAAAGAACATCCGCGTACCCAGAAGGCAGAACTTGAAAGGAAAGCTTTAAACGAGTAGAGGGGCCTGTGAAAGCGAGGGTCCAGACCCCGGAAGTTTTTAAAAAAACCCTCAAAAAGACATTTAAATACGGTCATCGTAAAAAACTCACATCTACCAATTATACAAGTCCTGGTTGGCGATGTACCAGTAGAAGCCCTCATCGATACAGGAGCAGAAGGAAATTTTATGATCGAAACATTCTTCAAAAACAATTTTTATAGGGTACGATTATTTAAAACCAAAAATACCAAAATTATAGCGGCGCAAGGAAAAACCTGTCACTGCATCGGGAAATTATCATTAAACATACAGGTAAAAGAGGAAAGCCTCAAAGTATTAATTTTTGTAGTGAAGAATCTGCAAAATCCTCTTATTTTAGGTATGGAGTTTTTAAGGGCCGCGAGGGCCAAATTGAATTTTCTAGAAAGTTCAGTTGTGCTGGAGATGGACCAGAGGGTGGTGGAACCGGTGGAACAACCGCAAGTGGACCTTAGTTATCTGAATGACCATGAAAGTCAAGCCATCCAGCAAGTGGTGAGTAATATTTCTAACTTGTTTTCAGAAAAGCCTGGTAGTTGTCAAATAGTTACGCATGAGATACAATTAACTGCCGAAAAACCTTGTAGGACTAAACCATATCATTATGACAAACAAAAAGACGTAATCATCGAAGAACATATTCAGGAGATGTTAAAGAATAAAATAATAACGCCCATAAATAGTGAGTACGCGAGTCCAGTCGTACTATGTAGGAAAAAGAACGAGTTTCCTCCTTCGGATAAAAGGGCTTGGAGGTTTGCTATCGATTACAGAAACCTAAATAGTATTACTAAATTCCCAGTTTACCCTTTGCCGGTTATAGAGGAAATTATTAGAAAGATCAAATCTACAAGATACATGTCTACTTTGGACTTAACGTCTGGCTACTATCAAATAGCTATGAGACCCGAAGACATACATAAAACCGCGTTTATTACCAAAATGGGGCCTTTTTGCATTTTTACGCATGCCCTTTGGGTTGTGTGGGAACCCCATCAACATTCCAGAGAGCTATGGACATTGTTCTAAAGCCTGTCCTAGGAAAATCGACTTTAATCTATCTAGATGATATAATTATAACGAGTAGTACGTTGGAACAACACATTAAAGATCTAGAAGAAGTTTTTAAATTATTAAAAGAGTCCGGTCTTACAATTAACGCCTCAAAATGCAAGTTCGCAACTAAAGAACTTAAATATCTCGGTTATAAAATTTCGCAAAAGGGTATATAGAAACGCAAGATTCAAAAATAAAAGCAATCAAGAATTTCCCACCGCCCAACACCGCCAAGAAACTTTCTTCTTTCCTTGGGTTATGTTCTTACTATCGGTCTTTCATAAAAGATTTCGCTAATATTGTTGAACCACTCTTAGTAATTAAAAGAAAGAGAAGTAAATTTACGTGGACAGCGGAAGCAAATACAGCATTTGAAAGATTAAAAGAAGCGCTCATCAATGGCCCTGTTTTGAAATTCCCGGAGGGGGACGAAAACCTGGAAATTGCAGCAGATGCATCGGACTATGCGGTGGGTGCGGTTCTTATGCAAAATAGCCATCCTCTGGCATTTTTTAGTAAAACATTGAATCAAACACAAAGGAATTATACAGCTACAGAGAGAGAAACATTAGCCGTATTAATGGCTGTACACAAATTTCGAGTTTATTTCGGCAAAGCGCCAGGACCAGTCTTTTCGGATCATGCGGCTGTTGGTAGATTTTACTCGGGGAAACACCTAACGCCCAGGTTAATAAGATGGGCTTTAAAACTCCAAGAATATAATCTAATAATAAAATATAAACCAGGTAAGGAAAACAATGTAGCTGACGCACTTTCTCGTATAAAACTGGACGATGAAGGAAATGAACTTAAATGCCCTGTGTTGACTTCAAAAATTTTAGATTCTAGAGATACGATTATCACTGAACTGAAAGCTGATCCTGAATTTGGAAATATGTATGCATATTTGAAAGACCCCGAAAGCTCGTTGAGCACACAGATATCGATGCGAATAAGAAATAGAGCTGAAACACTATGAAATAATAGATAATTTATTATTTTATACGAAAACAACAAACGAAAATCTCGAGTACAAACCAGTCATCCCAGCCTCGCTTCGATTAAACATTTTGAAAGGAATTACACGACGCGAAAACATCGGGTCGGTCATTTAGGGGTCAGAAAGACTATAAGAAGGGTACGCGAGGCGGTATATTTCCCGCAATTATACAAAATAGTAACTGCG